GATTCTGATTTCAACCGTTGCGTATATTAGCTGCGACATATGAGTCGAGATGCTACAACTGAAAAAATTTGACTGATAGATGACCGTTGAATATATGATTGGCCGAATTCAGGTGTTCAGGTTGACGTATAACTAACTGGCCTGCAGAAGAAAACAAGGAAAAAACACAGAGATTTTAAAACAGGATTTTTATTTTATATATATATATAAATTTTCTAAATTTTGGAACAATATGGTCTGGTAGAGAGTACATTTATTTACATGTTTAAGCTAGAATGATTTGACATTTAAATATGACTTCCCTATGACCTTAAAGAATGGATGGATGGATAACCTGTTAAAAATATAGTCCTGAAGCAAAAACTGTTTCTGTTTTTCTAACAGAGTGAGACATCTTACAGTTCAAAGGCTAGTTATCCTCCCTTCTTATGACGTCAACATATGGCAACTCCACTCGGACAAACTGTATTACACCCGTTTCTTAATGATCGAATGTCTTTTGGAGTCTCAACATATTATTACCTATATTTGCTATTATTTTACATTTCATTGGCGATCTAAAGTAGCCGAAAGTAGAAAACAATCATTCTCAGGAAAGTACTTCATTCTAAGACTGCTGTTATATTTTTATAAGTAGTGTAGCTTAAAATGGCTTACTGAACGAGCTAAAAGATGCTAACCCTTTAGCTACTGAGCACAGGTAGCCACAGTGCTACCCAGCCCCACAACCACCCACCACCCACCCCCCAGTTACAGTTGCAGTTACTTTGTTCACCATAAACAGATTTTTTTCTGTTTTTTATTGTATCGATAACGTAAAAAAACTGCATTGTTCATTAGACACGCTAACAGATGCTGCGTGATGTTAATATCGTTGTCTGGGCAACCACAATGTTTTATATCATGTGGCAACTGGCATTGGCAGGACTCGAGCAGATCTGGTACCTACAACGGACCCAACCTGATTTAAAACATTTGTAAATTACCGCATGTTGTCCAATGACAGCCTCTAACTTTACTTGCGCCGCTTCTCCTGTTAATATGGTAAAGCCATCCAGAATGTCGGGACCATGCTACACATGATACAAGGCTACAAGTTGCTAGCTACTTTAAGACACAGCAGGCAAACCTGTGGCAAGCCGGGTGATGGGAAAGAAGGAGAAGATGATGAGATAAAGAGAGCAGAGAAAGTTTGGACTGCCGGAAGAACTGTGGTGAACTGGTGACAGAAAA